GAGCCGCAAGAGGATCTCTTGAGCCCAAGAGTTTGAGGTTGCTATGAGCTATGCTAGGGTGACATACCCTGCTGAGGGTGACAGAGAGACTCTGTTGGAAAGATAGAGAATTGAGATTAGTGTTCTCACCTTGTCAAATATTTTATCAAAATTAGTACCAAATAGTAAGACCCACAGGAATTTTATCTTTTCCCAATCTAGTCAGAACCATAGCAGCAAAGTATGCCCAGTTAGATTTCTAGCTGACTCAGATACTCCATGAGGCATTATGAAAAATTGGGTGTGCTTTAAGTTAATTTCACATCTCTAAGATAGCCTTAAATTGATTTATTATAAACTTTTTAGGTTCATTTTGACATTTCTATTGAGGAAATTTATCTTTTTTTTTTTTTTTTTTTTTGAGACAATTTCATATGTCGCCCTTGGTAGAGTGCTGTGGCGTCACAGCTCACAACAACCTCCAACTCCTAGGTTCAAGCGATTCTCCTGCTTCTGCCTCCCAACTAGCTGGGACTATAGGCGCCTGCCACAGTGCCTGGCTATATTTTGGTTGCAGCCGTCATTATTGTTTGGCAGGCTCGTGCTGGGTTTGAACCCACCAGCTCAGGTGTATGTGGCTGGCGCCTTAGCCAGGAAATTTTTTTGATCCACAGGCACGAGCCAGGAAATTTATTTTTATTTCTATTTTTTACCTACCGTTTGTCATGTACAGACTGGTTAGAATACATTTGTATTTATACCATTGATAATTTGGAAAGAGTTTTTTGGGGGGGCTTTTGGGGTTTTTTAAAATTTGTTTTAGAGTCAGGTCTAAGGTCAAGCTTATTTCTAACTTGGTTAAGTAAAAATTACTTAATTTCTGCATCTATAAGATTAGGGGTCATTATACCTACCTTATGGTTGGAAAAATTAAATAAGATAATGTTATCTAAAGCCCTGCCATAGTATTCTTTTTTTTTTTGAGACAAATTCAAGGTGTCGTCCTGGGTAGAGTGCTGTGGCATCACAGCTCACAGCAACCTCAAACTCTTGGGCTCCCAAGTAGCTGAGACTACAGGTGCCTGGCTCTTTTTTGTTGTTGTTGTTGTAGTTCTCATTGTTTAGCAGGCCCAGGCTGGGTTTGAACTAGCCAACTCCCATGTATGTGGCTGGCGCCCTAGCTGCTGAGCTATAGGTGCCGAGCCTTTCTTTTTTATTTTCTTTTGAGAAAGAGTCTTGCTGTGTTGCCCAGGTAGAGTGCTATGACATCAGCCTAGCTCACAGCAACCTCCAACTCCTGGGCTCAAGCAATCCTCCTATATCATCCTACTCCATAGTGGGGACTATAGGCATGTACCACCATGCTCAACTAAGTTTTTCTATTTCTGGTAGAGAACAGGGTCTCACTTTTGCCCACCTGATAGTGTCTGGAACACAGTAAACATTGTAGCCCCATGCACTTACTTAGTATGATTGAGAAGCAGTTTCCTATAGAATATCATACCTCAAGGTTTTATTTCCCTAAAGTAGAAAGATTTACTCACTCAGTGCCCTTCGCATAGCCACATACACCAAGAGTGCAGGTTCAAACCTGGCCCGGGCCAGCTAAACAACTGCAACAACAACAACAACAAAAAAAATATCCAGGTGTCGTAGAATGCCTGTAGTCCAGCTATTTGGGAGGCTAAGGCAAAAGAATCGCTTAAGCCCAAAAGTTTGAGGTTGCTACGAGCTGTGATGCTACGGCACTCTACCAAGGGCAACATAGCGAGACTCTTTCTCAAAAAAAAAAATAAAAAAAAAAAAAAGAAAGCTTTCCTAAAGTAAGGCATGAAACAAATACTCAAAATTTCTCATAAGCATAAATTTTTACAAAATCTTTAGGATTACAGATGCTTTCCTCAAAGCAGACCCCTACATAGAGATCACAGGTGCTAAAGGAAAAAAGTATCACATTTCTACAGCAATTGATGACATGGAAGCCTTCACTAAGCTGACAGGTAAGAACTAGAAGGTAACATAAGTGGGCCCTGTAAGATAAAGTATAAGCTGGATTGCTGATCAGTTATTTTCTAGATGTTCAAATGTATCTTAGCTTCCTTAGTGATTTACTTTTGGATTTGAGTTTCATCTCTGCCTTGTACCGAGATAACCTTGATATAGTAATTTAGCTTCTCTGAACCTTAGATTTCTCAATAATAAAATGATGTTTGAAGTACAGCACATAGCTTTGCACAGTGGCAGTATTGTAGCCAATGAGGTTTATCCGAGGCGTGATTTTTGCTAATTGAAAACTTTTCCCAATACCCCCCCATGACCACTTGTAATATAGTCAGCGCTGGCAATTTTTGACAGTCTCTACAGAGACTGATAAAAAATAGTAATAATAATGAAGTATAGGCTTGGTGCTTGTGGCTCAAGTGGCTAAGGCGCCAGCCACATACACCTGAGCTGGTGGGTTCGAATCCAGCCTGGGCCCACCAAACAATAATGACGGCTGCAACCAAAAAATAGCTGGGCGTTGTGGCGGGCGCCTGTAGTCCCGGCTACTTGGGAGATGGAGGCAGGAGACTCGCTTGATCCCAGGAGTTGGAGGTTGCTGTGAGTGTGATGCCACGGCATTCTACCCAGGGTGACAGTTGACGCTCTGTCTCAAAAATAAATAGATAATAATAATGATGAAGTATAGGACCTAGTATAGGCTTGGCATATAAGTACTTAATATTCATTATTATGTAATTTTTTTTTGAGACAGGAGCCTCAAGCTGTCCCCCTGAGTAGAGTGCTGTGGCATGACAGCTCACAGCAACCTCCAACTCCTGGGCTCAAACAAGTCTCCTGCCTCCACCTCCCAGTAGCTGGGACCACAGGTGCCCACCACAACGCCCAGCCATTTTTTGCTTGCAGCCGTAATTGTTGTTTGGCAGGCCGGGCTGGATTCGAACCCGCCAGCTCAGTTGTGCGTGGCTGGTGCCTTAGCCACTTGAGCCACAGGCGCTGAGCCCATTATTATGTAATTTATAATACACCTGGGCTAATGTCAACAACTACCAAAAAACTGGCTTGACCATTTAACATTATTTTCATTGCAAAACACGAGATGCCAGAAACATCTGTCCACATCTCTGCGGAAACAAAACCTCACGCTTAGGGTGAGAAGGAAGAAAGGTAAAGGTGTGGCAGCTGGTTCTTTTTTTTTTTTTTTTTTTGAGACAGAGCCTCAAGCTGTCCCCCTGGGTAGAGTGCTGTGGCATGACAGCTCACAGCAACCTCCAACTCCTGGGCTCAAACAAGTCTCCTGCCTCCGCCTCCCAAGTAGCTGGGACCACAGGCGCCCGCCACAACGCCTGGCTATTTTTTTGGTTGCAGCCGTCATTGTTGTTTGGCGGGTCCAGGCTGGGGATTCGAACCCGCCACCTTAGGTGTACGTGGCTGGCGCCTTAGCCGGTTGAGCTATAGGCGCGGAGCCAGGCAGCTGGTTCTTTAAGTGGGAAAATACAAACTGAGAAAGATCAGTAAAGCAAAAGAAGTGGAACAAATAGTGCATGCTAGTCAGAGTTCTTAGTTGCAAATCATGAAGCTGATTGTTTAACCAAAAATAAAATTGGAGAGCAATTACTTAGAGAAGCAGTGGAAAAGCTGAGGCTTTGTAAATGGGCAAAAACAACAGAAGCCAAGACCCATAAAACAGCCAGACTACTCTATAGCAGCTTCCTGCCTGTGGTACTGCTGTTTCACTCTGGCCACATTCTTTTAGGTGCACCCTGCCAGAGTGAAACCTAAACCTGCTCCTCTCTTTCAAGAACCAGTTTTTAGGGCAGCTCCTGTGGTTCAGCCCCATATACCAAGAATGGCGGGTTCAAACCTGGCCCCGGCCAAACTGCAACAACAACAAAAATAGCCGGGCGTTATGGCAGGCTCCTGTAGTCTCAGCTATTCAGAAGGCTGAGGCAAGAGAATCGCCTGAGCCCAAGAGATGGAGGTTGCCATGAGCTGTGATGCCATAGTACTCTACCCAGGGCAATAGCTTGAGGCTCTGTCTCAAAAAAAAAAAGAAAGAAAGAAAAAGTCATGTCAATGATACAGTAGTATATAAATCTTTGAATCTTGTTTTTTCATTTTAACATGATTGAAATTTTTGTCAAATTGGCAGATAACATTTTTCTGGAGATTTTATACTCTGCTGATCCCAGGTTGGATGCAGCGAGAGAGATTTTAAAAAATATTGAATGCCGTCATCTATATAAGTATGTGGGTGAGACTCAGCCAAGTGGACCTGAGAGGATTAAAAGGGTAAGTTATAAAGCATCTTCCCATTAGTGAAAAATTATCATGATCTCTGTCCTCCATGAGGAAACCACAACTCTGTACTAAGCTCTTCATGTTTATTGTTGTTTAATCTTCACAGCAATGCAGTGTTTTTAGGCCTGTTTTACAGAGAGTGAAACTGAGGCTTGGATGAGATTAAGTAACTTGTTCATGGAAGCACAATTAGCCAGGATTCAAAGCCAGGTTGAACTGACTCCAAATCTTTGCTTTCTCATTCTGGAATTGAGAAGTGGCCTCAAATTTGGCTAGATCCAAGCATAGTAAAACGAGTGTCTGGGAAAGGGAGCTCAAAGGACCTGTGTGAGTTTCATTGAGACTCTGATGACCCGTTTTAACTACTTCCTTCTTTCCCAGTTAGCTCAGTGTCCCAAATGGCAGCTGCTGTCTTTTTTAGTTCAACTATGTATTTTCACCTCGTGTTTTTTTTCTCTTTGCCATAAAGCCATGACACAAGTCTTAGTAACAACCACATCCTACCTCATGATAATCTCTTGTGTTATACTTACTTTTCTCTTGTTTTACTAATAGGTTAATACAACATTTTTTTCCCAAATTTTTTTGGATAAAAAATGCTCTGTTTATCTGAAGGATGGCACAGGAAGGAGCTATACTTGTTAGGGATATCTCTAACAAATATTTTTCATAGGCTCGGCGCCTGTGGCTCAAGTGGCTAAGGCACCAGCCACATACACCTAAGGTGGCGGGTTCAAATCCAGCCC